TTATTATTAGTATAATTCATGATTATTATTTTTCATTCCTGTTAATATCACTACCTTTATTATAATACAGTTTTATATTTATCATCATTTATCATCATTATTTATCATAATTTTTCGGTCAAGTATAAATTTACGACTTAGAGTTTGGTTCATTAGCCTGATTTGTTTATAATTTTTTTAGTACACAACTTTTTATTTTTTCACATAAAATTCCATTATATTTTTTATGTGTCCAAATATTTTACTCAATCTCAGCTCAGTGTTTATTGTCATCATAAATTAATTTTTATGACATATACATATTTCGAGAAAATAAAAAATATTTTTGTTGCAAAATATATATATCTACTTAAACAGTATAACTCAAAATTAAGCTATATGATTTTATGTTTTTAAAAGACGTGAAAATTTTTATTTCATTGGATTTTAAGAAACTTTTTAAAAGTGGATTATATATTAATTCTCATTTTTGCTTAAGTTTGCTTCGGTCTGCCTTTCTATCTCAACTGAAAGGCGAGATTCAAACCTTTATTATTTTTTTTTTTTAATTATAACAGAAAATAACAAAAATAGCTTCAGCTTAGAAATCTTCTAGTAAGAGCAAGGGCAAYCGGGCTTCGTAGTTGTACAGTGAAGCCCCTATTTCTTGGCTTGAGATAGTTTGCGTTGGGGCTACAAAAGAAATGAAATACTGAAAGACCAAGATTTACGTCTTTTTGGCTGTTTATTTTTCTTTGCCGCTTTCATGAATCTTCAAGTTTATTATTGTTGTCTGTTTTGTTGTWGCTGCTGCTGCTGTTGCTGTTGCTTCTGGTAGCAACAAATTTAACACCCAGACAGTAGTAAATAAGCGAGTTATAAAAGGCAACTAATTACAAGTTGCAGCCGCCAGCTCTCATATGCTAAAAGCTTAAATTTGAATATGTATATGAGAGAGAGAGAGAGAGAAAGAGAGCGAGAGATATGTATTTGTATTTATATATATTGGTCTATGGATTTGGAATACCTTCCCTCGTTTAAATGTATGTAAATGTTTTGTTTTTTCGGGGACCCTTTTTCTTTATTGTCTTAATGAACAAAGGCGACGGCTTCTAGATGAGACAAATGTATCTCGTTTGAGCGCAAAACACAAATGTTTAAAACAATAATAAATTATCATTGTTGTTGCTGCCGTGGCTGCTGCTGCCTGTTGTTGTTGTTCCCTTGCCTTTTATCGTTTGATAATCGCTGGTCATTAGTCATTTTGGCCTCAACCTAAAGTATTGTATGTTTTCTATATAGCAATACATCTGACTCTGGCTCTGTTGCTGTTATTGTTGTTGTTGTTGTTGTTGCTGTTGTCGTTGCCACGCCAAAAAGAGTAATGTGAGCAACAACGGTGGCAGCAGCAGCTGCTGCTGCTTTTGCTGTTGCTGTTGCTGTTGCTTGTTATGTCTGTCTCTTCATTTGGTCCGCAGCACCAGCAGCAGCAACAACAACATGAGCTGGCTCAACGTTTAATAAATCGTGTACTGTCGCCTTTTATTGTTGCGGCGATGTTTCAAATTTTATTTATTTATCTGCTGCCGCTGAATTGGCTTAATAATGTGGCCAACAACAGGCAGCGACAGCGACAGCAACAGCAACAACAGCAACAGCCGCAGCGGGTCAAGCACATATTTAGCTACTTCTGGCGATATAACACTTTGGCTATCGGCTATCTTGACAGTGCAAGAAATATTTATGCTCTTTAGATTATTTGGAGTGTATTAGGCCAGCACCAACGAAACCAAAAAGTATTCGCCATTACTCATATATACATATATGTGTGTATATATACATATACTTTTATACTTGTATATCATTATACAGCTACCGAATTTCCGTATCTGTATCTGTATCTGTATCTGTATCTGTATCTGTATCTGTATCTGTATCTGTATCTGTATCTGTATCTGTATCTGTATCTGTATCTGTATCTGTATCTGTATCTGTATTTGTATCTGTATCTGTATCTGTATCTGTATCTGTATCTGTATCTGTATCTGTATCTGCATCTGAGTATCTGAATCTAAGTATCTGCATCTGAGTATCTGTATCTGAGTATCTGTATCGGAGTATCTGCAGCCACATCAAATCAATTCTAAAACTGACCCGATTTCCAAAGAGCTATATAAATTACAAAGCCATTTAATGCAAAGTAAGCCTATCGAATCTAAATCCCTTAAGGAACTGCATAAGCCCCCGAGGCCTTGCGCTGCCATATTATTTATGATGGCTAAATGTGTGGACAGGCAGGCTGGCAGGCTGGCAGTCAAAGCAAAACAATTTACCCACTGACCAGCAGCGATACGTGCTTATATATCTATCGACAATCCCTATCTGTCCATCTATCAATAATATATTACGGAGGCAGTTCCAAAAACTGTCGGCGGCTCCTTTGAAGTGTCAGCTAGAGCCGCCAACTTGGCCGAAAGTATTTCTCGCCTGAGGTGGGTGGGTTGTGGGTGCCAGCCGTGGCAATAATCACAGCAGCTGAAGTATTTATGTCGCAGTAAAGGCCTTGCAGAGCCCTAAATTTTCCTGCCTTACCCACAGCCAAATATATCTTAATGTGTGTATAAATTAATGTTATATTTTATTCCCTGTTACGTGACAAAGGCTGCACTCGCCCTTATCGTCATATATATATAAATATANATCTGCATCTGTATCTGTATCTGTATCTGTATCTGTATCTGTATCTGTATCTGTATCTGTATCTGTATCTGTATCTGTATCTGTATCTGTATCTGCATCTGAGTATCTGAATCTAAGTATCTGCATCTGAGTATCTGTATCTGAGTATCTGTATCGGAGTATCTGCAGCCACATCAAATCAATTCTAAAACTGACCCGATTTCCAAAGAGCTATATAAATTACAAAGCCATTTAATGCAAAGTAAGCCTATCGAATCTAAATCCCTTAAGGAACTGCATAAGCCCCCGAGGCCTTGCGCTGCCATATTATTTATGATGGCTAAATGTGTGGACAGGCAGGCTGGCAGGCTGGCAGTCAAAGCAAAACAATTTACCCACTGACCAGCAGCGATACGTGCTTATATATCTATCGACAATCCCTATCTGTCCATCTATCAATAATATATTACGGAGGCAGTTCCAAAAACTGTCGGCGGCTCCTTTGAAGTGTCAGCTAGAGCCGCCAACTTGGCCGAAAGTATTTCTCGCCTGAGGTGGGTGGGTTGTGGGTGCCAGCCGTGGCAATAATCACAGCAGCTGAAGTATTTATGTCGCAGTAAAGGCCTTGCAGAGCCCTAAATTTTCCTGCCTTACCCACAGCCAAATATATCTTAATGTGTGTATAAATTAATGTTATATTTTATTCCCTGTTACGTGACAAAGGCTGCACTCGCCCTTATCGGCATATACCTAATTATACATATAAATATTATATTATTCAGATATTCAATGCGGATTTTTATGCACAGGAAACCAAGTATCTCTATCTCTCAGATACCTCGCTGTGGTAAATATATGAAAATAAACGCCTGCCAAGTGCTTGTTGACAGTCGCCGCTGTTGTCGTGTCAGCTACAAATGTCACTTGACAAAAAAGAGACAAAAATGAATATTAACATCGGCATAAAACATCGAGCGACCGCCCATACGAACGCCAGCTCCGATGCTAG